AGCGCGCGTTAACACAGGTCTGTATTATGTTTGTAAACGATTTCAGGAACAGAAGATTGCTTACTTTAGTTTAAGACGTCTATTAAGGTCTACTGGTTCCAGAAGAGAAATTAGCTATGTCCTTTTCTTTCTTAATAGATATATACCAGGACATTCGTGATTTATCCCCTTGTACTGGTATGTTTTATCTAAAGTAAGCAGCCTTGGCATATTACGAGAAATTTTGTCTACATTATTAACAGCTCTATCTGTATATGGGCACCTCAGGAAGCAACTTCATTCGGACATAAGAAACTTGGAAATTTGCCAAAAAAAACAACAATAACGACAATATTCGATTTATCTAGACACAAGGAACTTATAGAAACTAAAATTTCAGCAATTATAGAATTAATTTAATAACTAAGAAAATTCAATATCATCAGATAATTGCTGAAGTAACTCAGGAGCTTGGATTAAGAATATCAGCAATTATAATATTAATTTCATTACTAAGGAAACCAACATCGTCAGATAATTGTTGAAAAAATTTAGGGGCCCGTTTATAGATTTATGCTGACTTGATAAGGGTGTTTAAGTAGGCTTTCGAGCTTTTACTGGCCCTTTGACAAGTGAGTAGACCCAGTTACTGGCTCTTTGGCAAGTGTTATCGCTGCTACTGGCTGTTTAGAAGTGTCTAGTCGGGACTTGGAATTTCTCGTAATATGCAATATAATATTTGACTACTGTATTTCAATATTTATTAACCTTTATTTATTTATTTTTAATAGATTATCGATTTTCAAGTTATATATAATTTATTAATTGAAAAATATGTATATGTCGTTGGTATTATTAAAAATATACATGTATATTGTAATTAAATAAATTCAATAAAATGGTTTTGAATTATTCTATTTTAAGTCTTGCGCTTTTTTAAAACGTATCGGTATATAAAAAAAAATCAAGAGATTTAAAAAAAAAGCTATATTATCATCTAGAGTTAATTATACAAGTCACTCTCGATATAAGAAAGTTTTATATAAGAAACTCTTGATATAAGAAAGATTTTACAAGTCTCAATTGAGAATTTTTATAATAAAAAGCATTCGTTATAAGAAAATCTCGATATAAGAAAGATTTTGACTGGACCCGGCAACTTTCTTATATCAAGAGTCACTTGTATATTACAATGCTTGTTGAGTCAAAATACGAAATTTGCCGAACTTTAAAAACATAAAATACTATATTAGGTAAAAGTATCTAAGCTATATGTAAGATAGATTATAATTTAAAGCATATATAGCCTAGCCTCTCTATAATCACACTACCGGGATCATATCAATTTTTTTTATAAAGAGTTGTGCTTATATAGAAGTTGTTTTCTGTATAGCTATAATAGTTGGTTTTAAAATAAATATGCTTATAGAGTTTTTTCATGACGTACTTATATGGGAGGTGACTATAGGAAGTTTCAACTGTACATTGATCGTAAAAGGTGCATGTTGCAACGTTTTTTTCTTTTTTTTGCGTACTGTTATACATTATATTCTTTACAATTCTACGTATGCTAATAGGTTTCCGTGTTCAGCCATATCCTTGCTACATTTTTTTTTTAAGAAAAATATACGTATGTATTAGGGTTGTGGAGAAAGAATCAGTATCAATTAGAATATACTCTTTCGTTACTGATCTCTCATATATCTTCCGTGCTTATCTTAGGTTGCTAGCCTTTGATGACGAACCTAGCATAGAGATGGGCAAGGTAATTACTTATTACATAAACAGTCAAACCACACTATACGACAATTTACTAATAATATATACTTACGTACAACTAATAACATGCTAAATTGTCGCATAATGTGACTTAACCTTTTACGCAATAAGTAATTAATTACCTTGCCCATCTCTAACCTAGCATAACCACCAAGATCATTTATGTACGGGGTTTGCCGATATATATAATTTAATAATAAATTTGAAAACTGTTATTGCCACTCTCCATTTTTGTTACTGCCATCCCCACATCTAATTGGCCTCAAACCTTCCTAACCCTAATTATTGATTGGTTAGATTATGAGTGGTGACAGTAACAATTTTCTAAAAATTTTCATAATAAAACACTTGAAAATTCATATAATTGCTGGGTAGTAATATATTTTCAATATTGTTTGTGAGTTTAAATTCTTCAAAGCTTTTAAATATTATAAGAGCGCAAGCACTGATCCTGAAATAAATCAATTTTTCGTCACTGCGAACGCATTTGAATGAATATATTAAAAATTCGTTTCAAACTTAGACTACATCAACTAACTGTTTCGAAAATCTATGGCCTAAATTATGAAGCCTTAGCTAATCAATCTAATCTTAAATATTTAAAAGAACCGCTCTTATAGACGTGTGTTGGAAACTTTATGAAACATATCAAAGTCAAAAACAAAAATTTGATTAATGATGGTTACTAGGAAAACGGGGATTTTACCTTGCGGGAAATGTCTTGAGTCACGTTCTAAAAGACATTTACTGTCGTTTCTAAGACCTATGACGAATGATCTTTTTTGCGTCACATCGTAACAATGCTACAACTAACAAAGGGCTCATATCTATGCCCGCTAATAGTTTGCTAATAAAATAGAAATTGATAATTTCATAAACATGTTTAATGAATTTAAGAAAATTATATAAAATATAGCGTTTCATGTCGGCGGATTTTTACATAACCCCAAAATTAAGGGTATTGGCCAACTAGTTGGGTGGAATTAGACTAATAAACTCATTATATAACATTAAATATTTTATTATGGTGCCGGCACTTTTTCCTTTATCCCGGTAATCAGCTAAAGGGTGGATAATCAGTTAGACGCAGCTTTCATTAATGATTTTTCTTATTTTGAGGGTGCTTTGTAAGACGTACAGATCATTTGACCATTCATATTAGTAAGATTCAGGGGTCATTACCATTAAATTAACTATCGTTCATTATTTTTAGGGACAAGTAAAAAGGTCCAATTAACTAAATCCGTCGACATGTATAAACAGTATTAACCTATCATGTGAATAGTTCATATTTTTATCGAGTTTTGTCATCATAAGTATTGTTGGCATCACTAATTTTAACAGTTTGACTAATAACTTCCAAAAATGAAGCAAAGCCAGAAATATCACTTTCTTCATGTAGCTTTGTGTTACGAAAAGAGAGTGACTTTACTATTGCACTGCCAATTTAACTGCGGGTCGTAAGCATTAAAAATAGAAAACAAATGATTTATTGCAATGTACAAGACAAGAAAAATGCAAACAAAAAATGTAACCGATACAAGTATCTTCCCCAAAGTGTACACAGTACACTGTTACGACCAGTGGGAGAGACTTGTATCGGCAGAGCCAATTTAGCAAAGGGTCGTAATCATTAACAAGAGATAAACCGAATATTTTATTAACACACAAAGGCACCAGAACGAAATAATTACTAATCCTTTTTAGTGTCCCAGACACTCTTAATACTAATATCTTTATTCCTCTACTTCTTAGTAAGTTCCAAACTCACTAGACTTCCACTCAAATTACAGAAAACTCAAAGAAAGACTCTCTAAAAATCTAAATCTAAATCTCTAAAATCTAAAGAACTAAAATACATATCGTTCTATATATATCAATGAATAAACTCTAAAGTAAGCTATAGTCTATTTACAGTCTAATTAAGATATGGCTGTATACCTCGCATAAACTATTAAAATGTTACACGAAAAGTATATATAAAAGTATAAGAAAAGTATATAAAAGTATAAAGGTTACACAAACAAAGTTTAAGTGTGAAACTTTTTTGCGTAACAACACGAAAGAATCTTCCTAAAAATACTAATTAACTCAAAATCTCTAAGAACCCCTAAAACTTTCCATCCTTTCCTATTTATAAAAGTATAATGTTAAAAATGTTGCGTCTTTTTTCTGTATCACTTTGTTCTGTATCACTTTGTTCCCCGGATTCACTAAAAAAAAATATATATCTTCAAAAAATTAATATTTTACAGCGTTATAATTATTATATATATTTAATAAATTACCTCAACTCATTAATTAAATTTATGAATGCAAATTTCCTTGATTTTGTGATATAGGCTGTGTGCGTAGTGATGCATAAAAATAAACGTTTTCTGCAACTTAAACAAAAAACAATAAAAAATAAAAAATAAAAAGAGATAAAAGAAATATAATCGTCTAAAATTATTATAAAGTTTAAATTTATACCTGCCAAATGCTATGTAAGCATAAACTTTACAATCGTCCGGTATTAACGGTGGGACAAAGTGGAATTTTGCTGATATTGCACTTTGG